GTCTGGCCCCGGCTTATGTCTCCAGCCTCATCCTCTCCACCCTCATCACTAGTTTCCTCTAGGCACCTTCTTCTCCACCCCCAATATGTTCCTTTTCTACATTGCCAGCACCCACAGTGACTTTCAGTTCCCTGTCTCCCAGTTTTCTCTTGACTGGGCTTTTTTGCAGTCCATTTCCTCTGTATAGGATATGACGATATGACATATGATATACTCCACCCACCCCCAGACCTAACTCCTCTTCAGCCTTCAGTGCTCAGGTTGCTCTGCTTCAGCCTCTCTCTCCTTGCATATTCAGGGCAGGTTCCCAAGGACCTATGCCTTCCTTACCACAGCACTCAACACTAAGGGTACAACTGTCTGCACATTCGCCTGCCCACTGTAGACTGTGAGCCGGTGAAGATGAGGGCCTGTTGACATGGCTCACTGAGGCAGCCCAGCACTCCATACTGTGTCTGCCTGCCCTCTAGTCTGACCCGAGGGCATTTTTTTTTTTTTTGCATTTATCTTTATTTAGAGCGGGAGAGAGAGAGGGAGGAAAAGAGAGAGAGAAACATCAACGTGAGAGAGACACATCGAGTGGTCATCACCCACACAACCCCAACCGGGGTGGGGGACAAACTGCAACCAAGGTACATGCCCTTCGCGGAAACCGAACCCAGGACTCTCCGGTCCATGGGCTGACGCTCTAACTGCTGAGCCAAACTGGCCAGGGCCCCTCTAGTCTGTAATGGGTGTTTTGGGCATGAACAAGTGGGAGTTGGAGGCAGCTGACCTTGAATTTATATCCACAGGCCAAGCTTTCTGATTAAACTAATAGTTGTTGTTTCGTAGCTCAATCACCTTTTGTTCCATGCCCTCCTCCCATTGGTGAGCCCTGTGAAACACTTTGTTCTAATGTACCCCATATCAGACACACATTTAGTTAATTGCAAATGTTGCATTAGAGGTTCATGATTTTAGAAGCAACTTCCTCATTTCAAATGGAAGAAAACTGAAGCCCAAAAAGCTGAAGTAATTTGTTAGTAGCAGGCTCAGTGTATGTAAAAAATGTGAGTTCAGAATACTTCCCTTGGGCCCTGTGAATACTCCTCTTATTGTGCTTATAATACTATATGATAATGGTTTATGTGTCTATGTGTAAAACTGGGACTCAGCCTCAGATTTTTTTTTTGTTAAATTTTGTTAAAATTTTTTTAAAAAATTTCTTTTCTTTCTCTCTCTCTTTTTCTTTTTATCCTCACCCGAGGACATTTTTTCCACTTTTTGTTCAGATAGAGTGGGAGGGAGAGGGAGAGAAACATCAACGTGAAAGGGACACATCGAGTGGTTGCCACCCGCATGACCCAACCAGCGCCGGGGACAAACTACAACCGAGGTATGTGCCCTTAGCAGGAACGAACCCGGGTCTCTCTGGACTGCAGGCTGACACTCTAACCGCTGAGCCAAACCGGTTCCAAAGAGGACATACAGAAATAGGAAAAGATGATCAACAGTGATAATCATCAGAGATATGCAAATTAAAACCACAATGACATATCATCTCACACCCATCAGAATGGCTATTATCAATAAATCAACAAGTGTTGGTGAGGATGTGGAGAAAAGGGAACCCTTGTGCACTGTTGGTGGGAATGCAGATTGGTGCAGCCACTATGGAAAACAGTATGGAGGTTCCTCCAAAAATTAAAAATAGAACTACCATATGACCCAGGAATCTCACCTCTGGGTACTTATCCAAAGAAAATTTGAAAAGATATATGCATCCCTATGTTCATTGCAACATTATCTATAATAGCTAAGATATAAACGCAACCTAAGTATCCCATCACTAGATGATTAAAGAAAAGGTGGTATATATTTATATATATATAATGGAATGTTACTCAGCCATAATAATAAATAAACTGGCCAGAGTGGCTCAGTTGGTTGAGTGTTGTCCTGTGCACTGAAAGGTTGCCGGTTCAATTCCCAGTCAGGGCACATACCTAGGTTGCAGGTTTGATCCCCAGTCCGAGAGCATACGGAAGGCAACCAATCAATGTTTCTCTCTCATATTGATGTTTCTCTCTCATGGCGATGTTTCTCTCTCTCTCTCTCTCACTCCCTTCTTCTCTCTAAGCATGTCCTAGGGTGAGGCTTTATTTATTTTTTTATCCTCACCTGAGGACATTTTTGCATTTATCTTCAGAAAGAGCAGGAGAGAGGGAGGAAGAGAGAGAAATATCGATGTGAGAGACACATCAATTGGTTGCCACCCACACACCACCAACCAGGGCCGGGGTGGAACTGCAACCAACCAAATTACGTGCCCTTAGTGGGAACCAAACCCAGGATTCTCTGGTCTGCGGGCCGACACTCTAACTGCTGAGCCAAACTGGCCAGGGCTCTAGGGTGAGGATTTAAAAAAATGAATGAAATCTTACCGTATGCAACAACATGGATGGAGCTAGAGGGTATTAATAATGGTAAGTGAAATAGGTCAGACAAAAATACAAATATGATTTCACTTATATGTACAACCAAATAAAGAAAAAAAAAGAAACAGACTCATACTCATAGATACAAAGAACAAACTGGTGGTTGCCAGATGAAAGGAGGGTTGGGGCTGGGTGAAAAAAAAAGGGATTAAGAAGTACAAATTAGTAGTTACAAAGTAGCCACAGGGATGTAAAGTACAGCATAAAAAATATAATCAACAATATTATAACAACTATGTATGGTGTCAGGTGAGTACTACACTTATTGGGGGGAATCACCTTGTAAGTTATATGAATGTCTAACCACTATACTGTACACCTGAAATTAATATAATATTGAATGTTAACTGTAATTGAAAACATTTTTTCTTTATTGATTTGAGAGGAATGGAGAGGGAGAGAGAGATAGAGTGGGAGGGAGAGAGAGGAAAAGAGAAAGAGAGAGAAACATTGATGTGAAAGGGGCATGTGGCCACCTCCTGCACCACCTCAACCAGGGCTGGGGACCCAATTGCAACCAAGGTATGTGCCCTCGAAGCAACCTAAGTGTTCATCAATAGATGAGTGGATAAAGTGGTGAAAGATAAATGCCATTTCACTTATATGTGGAATCTTAGAAACAAATGAATAAAACAGAAACAAACTTATAGAGAACATTTTGATGGTCGCTAGATGGGAGGCAGTGTTGGGTAAAAAGAGTGAAGGGATTTAAGTTACAAAGTAGTCATGGGAGTCCTGGTTGGGTAGCTCTGTTGGTTAGAGTGTTGTCCTGATACACCAAGGTTGCAGGTTTGACCCCCAGTCAAGGCACAGACAATAATCAACCAATGAATGCATAAGTGGAACAAATAGATGTTTCTCTCAAAAATAAATAGCCCTGGCTGGTTTGGCTTAGTGGTTAGTGGTTAGAGTGTTGGCTCACAGACCATAGACTGGGCTCGGTTCTCGCTAAGGGAATGTACCTCTGTTGCAGTTTGTCCCAGGCCCTGGTTGGGTCATGTGGGAGGTGACCACTCGATGTGTCGTTCTCAGGCATCAATGTTTCTTTCTCTTCCTTCCTCTCTCCCTCTCGCTGGATCACATCAATGTTTCTTTCTCTTCCTATCGCAGGATCACATCAATGTTTCTTTCTCTTCCTATCGCATCAATGTTTCTTTCTCTTCCTTCCTCTCCGTCTAGCTCTATCGCATCAATGTTTCTTTCTCTTCTTTCCTCTCTCCCTCCCACTCCATCTGAAGATAAATGCAAAAATGTCCTCCAGTGAGGATAAAAAAATATCAATGGACAAAATACCTTCTGGTGAGGATTATCAAAAATAAAAAGTCATGGCGGGGGGTAAAGCATAGCATAAAGAATACAGTCCATACTGTGATAATTACGTATGGTGTCCGATGAGTAGATTGATCACTTGGTAAATTAAATAAATAACAAAGATATTTAAAATTTTAATTAGTGGTATTTTTAATTTTTCCATTGATTTTAGAGGGAGATAGAAACATCTGTGAGAACATGGATTGGAAGCCTCCTGCATGCCCCCCTCCCCACTGGGGATTTGGCCCACAACCTGGACATGTGAATTGAATGGCAGACTTTGGTGCATGGGTTGTTGCGCTCAACCAGAGTCACACCGGCCAGGCAATGTTTTGCATCTTTGAAGATCTCTTTAATATCTGGTTTAACAGTAGACCACTAAATTCTCTTATGTAATTTTACAGTCCATTGTGATCATATAGCCTTAAAACTGCTGATATATTATATGCCATGAATTTAAACAATGAAAATGCAGTAAGTGAATGAGCCCTTCTCCCTGCTGATTCAGACCCAACGAACTCCCCTTTCCCTTGCTGCAGTTTCATCCCAATTCTACAGGTAATGAGAATACTTGCTACTTCCCAACTTCTCCAGACATTTGCTGTGGCTTGCATAACGGCCTATTATTAGCCTAACATACGATACATTTGTCTACCAACTGATTAATCGCAAGTACTCAGAACAGTGCCCAGCACTATCCAGTAAATTTTAATTTCTTTTTTTTAATCCTCATCCAAGGACATTTTTCCATTTTTTGTACAGAGTGGGAGGGAGAGAGAGAGGAAGAGAGAGAGAGGGAAACATCGACGTGAAGGGACACATCGAGTGGCTGCCACCCGCACGACCAACCAGGGCCGGGGAAAAATTGCAACCGAGGTACATGCCCTTAGCGGGAACCGAACCCGGGCCTCTCCGGACCGCAGGCCGACACTCTAACCGCTGAGCCAAACCGGCCAGGGCTTAATTTCTTATAGTGTCAAAATGTTTTGATTTTTTCCAACTATTTAAAATTGCAGAAATTTAGTTCACAGGCCATACAAAAACAGGCAGCAGACCTGTCAATCTCGGCTTCTAATCGTGGGTTCAATTCCTGGTCAGGGCGTGTATAGGAAGCAACTGACTGATGTTTCTTACATTGAAGCCATACTGAAATACTTAGTAGCCAGCAAACATTTGTATCATTGAACACTCACAAACCAGAACACAATAGTAGTTTAAAAGGTCTCACATTTATTACTGAACCAATCTACTGCAGAAAAAAGAAAATCACGCCTCCAATAATTTCCTAATTAAAACGCCCAACTGTCCAGACAGTAGTGATATTTTCAGTGATTATGGTAAGATGCAGGCAAGCTGGATACAGTATAAATGTGTGAGCCATCTCTCATGTGTGATTCCTTATAGACCCAGTTTGGTTCTTCTCCAATGTCTCCTCTTGGAGTTGTACCTATACAGAAGGAAATTACAAGTTACAAAGACAGTCTGACCTCAACTTAGCTGCTCTCATTCATCACAAACTTTGCCTTTTAAGTACCACAATATCCTTGAAAGGCAAAGGGTCCCGCTTCTTTCTGTTCACAAGTTTGGAGCTCTTTTTGGAGAGTAAAAAATGATTTGCTAGATGTTTAAGAACTAGTCAAATCAAATTTTTACCTCTCAAAATGATTCCAGGGTAGGAAAACACACTGGTTCTTAATTGGTACAGGAACAGTGGGGAAGCTCTCTCCCCTCCCCGTGTACATTCACCCACCTTTGATTCAGCAGACCTGGTGCAGACCCAGACAGAAACATGTCTATTTTGAACTCCCTTCCTTTCTGAACTACATCAAAAACAGTCACTCCTACATAATGGGTCACACACACATCAAAGCTCCTGCATAACTTTTATAATACTTTAACACACTCACTCACTTTGATACCAAAACAAGTGATTTATACAGCTAAGGCTACCTCAGAATTGTCCATGTCAATCGGTCATGATCTTACCCTCATAAAGGCAAAATCAAAAAGGATCAACACAAGATTTTCTTTCAGCAGGATAATGGCAGTACTCCCACAAAATGAAGCACTGTAATTGCAACCTGCTTTCAAAAGTCAGAAGACAGCTGAGTCAATAGAAAAATCATTCTATTGTGCCAATTCTCCAGGCTAAGACTGTAATGCTAAATACAAAATACCTCCCCAGCTCTAGGAGGCCACAGAGCAAGAGGCTAATACTGATAATTGTAGGCACTGAGCTTCACATACATTTCTTTCATTCCTTAAAATAACCTATAAAGGCAGGTCCCACCATCATCAGACAGAGAAACTGATGTTCATGTTGCTGTATTTAAAAAAAAAAAAAAAGGGAGGGGGGGTGCTTTACTATGGATGCCTGATGTTCTCAACAGAAATCCATCAAACTTGTAGAAGGGCTGAGCTGCCAAACAAACCACTTCACCAAGTGACAATGCTCTTTTCTCAGTACTGTATGATGGCAACACCATGTGCTTTAAATTCTAGTTGCACCTGTAACAATGAGACATCCCCCATACATATTAATATGCATAAATTATCAAGACTAGTGTTTAGTACCCAATAAACCAAAGGTAGCAAACAATTGGCATATAAGGCTATAGCGGGTGATAAATTTCATGTCTCTGTGAAAAACACACCGGGGCTGTCAGTGGCTGTGAGCCATTGGATATATATCTCACCAATTTTCTGTTTATTTTTCTTCCTTTCAAGACCTGTCTTAAGTTCCACTTGGTCTTAAAAGAGCAGTGGGGCTGAAAGGCATGCAGGAGACTTGAGTTTTAGGCCTAGCTTTGCCCGGAGTTGACCTAAATGACCTTGGACTAGAGGCTCTTTGTAGCAATTCTAGCAATGTCTTTTTTCCAAAGCCACCGATTCAACTACTTTTGCAGCGGAGAGCAATATTCCAATCTTTAAAAAGACAAATACTTCAAAGATGGACTGGGTGAGCATCATAGTCTTCCCTGCTGGGACGTGTAATAAGACAGCCCTCCATCTTATGTTCTGACCCGGAATGAAGACAACCAGGAAATTAACAAATATTGGAGGAGTATTTAAACCCAGCTGTGGGCTGGGTGCTGTCCAGAAACCCAGAGGAAGCACATTTAAAACAAAATTTCAGAGTGGTGGTACAGGAGTGAATTGGATTGCATATAAGTTTTAATTGTATACTTATGCCCCAAAAGCAATTTTAAACTTAAAAAACAAAAGAGGGTGGTGTCCTTACCTGATTTTATTACCAGTTTTCATCCGAATCCATTGGGGAATGGGCCGATTCTGCTTTTGTTTCTTGGCCAGGAACCTCTTGATCCTGAAAGTCTTATGAGAAGACTGGGAAGGATATGCAATCAATTTAGACAGTAATATCAGAACTTGCTCAAAAGACTCAAAATCAAGAACTCCCTCAACCCAACAAACATTTGAATGCTTAATATATACTGAAAACTACCCTCTAAATTCCAAACCCCTCATGCCCTTTGTTTTGTTCCTTGCAACTTCTCTGGAGGCAGATACCATAATTCCCATTGTTCAAAAAGGAAGAATATCAATGTGCAGAGCTGGGACTCGAACCAGATCCTCTCTGTTCTGAGGTTAGGGAACCTTCAGGTCTTCTCTAGGAGGACCACATTGGGGATGGCAAGAGCTGGGGAACTTGGTTTTCAGGAAAGAATACAGCTTCTAGTAAACCAAATAAGGTATCACTTGCAAGTCAGTAAGTCTCCGTGCCCTTGATTGTAAAACAGGAGTACCCTCTTTCAACAGTCATGGCAAAAAAAACACGAAGATTTACGCAGCATTTCCTACATTCAGCAAATCTATTCTATCCTGCTGATAATTTTGGTATTAATTTTAACTATTGAAAATGACACTTTTGCCCTGGCCAGTTTGGCTCAGCGGTTAGCGCCTTGGCCGGAGAGTCCCGGGTCCAGTTCCCGCTAAGGGTATGTGCCTCGGTTGCAGTTTGTCCCCGGCCTCAGTTGGGATCATGTGGGTGGCAGCCATTCGAAGTGTCTCTCTCACATCGATGTTTCTCTCTCTCTCCCTCCTGCTCTATCTGAAGATACATGCAAAAATGTCCTCGGGTGAGGATAAAAATAAATAAAATGACACTTTTCCAGGAATATCTTTCCCTATTTTCCTTTACATCTTTTGGCTTTGATGAAGAACTCAGGTCATCTAAACCCAAATACAACCAACACCCCTTGCAGGACAGTCAGAAAAAATAGCATGAATGCTGGTCTAAAGTCTGGCCAGTGTGGCCCAATACACCCTTGCATAACGGGGGCCATTTTAAAGAAGCCAAAGACTACCCCCCCCCCTCCCAGTTCACAGCAGTTGTAAATTGTCAACTATTAAGGTGATTAAACACCAAATACTGATCCCCTCTATACCTAAAAGCCTATACACAACTTAAACTTCGCAGGGAATTGTCACAGGAAAAAGCCAAGGCAGTGGCTGTCTGCAGTTGGCATCGTGCGAAGAACTCCCAAATGGCAAATAGGTTCACATCACAGCGCTCGTTTCAGGCGCTTCCATGGGTGAAGCTCAGTCCCTGAAAGAACTAAAACATTCCTGGAAGCTCAAAACGTGCTAAGCTCTTGGCCACTGAGTTAAAAAAACGTTACAGGAGCCAGCAGCCCACGTCCCACTCTCGACGCTAGGTATGCGTCGCAGGTAGTGAGCAGTTGCCTCCCTCCCTCCCCATTTTTCTCTGCCCCCAAATCAGATCTCTCCGGGAGAAGGGCCAAGGGCAGCGGGCGCCGGGGCGCCGGGGCGCCGGCCCGCAGCACAGGCCCCGTCGGCCCTCGCAGCGCCCGCTCCGCCCGCCCCTTCCCAGGTGCTTGATTGCTCACTAGCTTCGCGCCAGGCCCGCCGACTGGAGCGGGGACCAAACGTCCCTGCAAATAGCCTCTGAAAGGGCTCCCGCACCTCGGCGCAGGCCAACTCGCGAGACACCTCAGATGTCGGGAAGCCACCTCAGCGCGGATGGTAAAGGATGGACTTACCATGGCGAAAGAGAGTCGAACGCACGCACCACGATGGCGGAGAAAGAGAGAGAAGGAAACGGAAGGACGTGAGTAGGCGCACTGCCGGGGCGGGGCTTGGGGCTGACGCGATGCTTTCACCTCCTCCTTTTGGCGGGTGCTTCCCCTACGCTCTCCCCAAGCTGGAGGGAACCGGGCTCCTGCCTGCGAAATGGAAATCGCTTTGCGTGTCTTCTGTAAGTGGGTTCCTTCGAGCCTGTCAGTGTGCCAGGGGCACCTTCCTCATGGGTGAGGACAACAGCCAATATGAACCCCCAAGCTGAAGCCCTTCGAAAGGCAGCGGAGCGGAGTGGGCGGCTCTGGCTCCAGGGGGAGAGGGGGGCGCCCCGTCTGAGCGCAAGGGATTTGCGCCTGCACTTGGGCTGGGAACGCTCTTTCTGGACAGTTTTAAATATCATTGACTGTGGAACAATTCGGTTTTGAACTGCATGTGCTCACTTATACGTGTTTTCTTTTTTCTTCAAACAATGTACAGTAGGCCCTCTGTCTCCTGGGTTTCACATCCGTGGATTCAACCAAAACAGTATTTTCCGTTCGCGGTTTGGAATCCTGGATGCGGATGGGAGGGCCAACCGTATGCATTGGTCTACAACTATATGCAGTATTCTATGCCATTTTATTTATTTTTTTCCCTTTATCGATTTTACAGAGAGAGAAAATGAGAGGGAGAGAGAGATAGAAACATCATGAGAGAGAACATCGACTGGCTGCCTCCTGCATGCCCCCCACTGGGGATTTGGCCCACAACCTGGGCATGTGTCCTGACCGGGAGTCAAACCGGCGACCTCCTTCCTGGTGCATGGGTCCAGGCTCAACCACTGAGCCACACCGGCAGTACTCTAAGCCGTTTTATATAAGGGACTTGAGCACCTGTGGATTTTGGTATCTGGGGCAGGAGTCCTGGAACCAATACCCTGGCTGATACCAAAGGAAGACTGACTTTTGGGAGTCAAAAGTTATACGTAGATTTTGGAGTGCGTGGGAGTTGGCCTAACACCCCCCCCCCCCATCCCCCGTGTTGTTGAGGGTCAACTGTAGTGTTCACCTGGCTGGGCGGTGTGGGACCTGAAGGGACACTGCTGTTTGAGGAAGCAGGAGAGGTGGGCGGGGGGCTGAACCACCAGGTGTGCTCTGTAAGCCTACCCTTTCATTGGCTGCTAGGACGCCCAGACTGACTTTGTAGTCCACCTTTGGCAAAATGTACAGGATTAATGTCAACATTTTGGATGTTAATGTTTACATTTTCATCTTTTGCTTCCCATTTGAAAACAAAAAACTCCAGCTCTGGCCCTGTAGCTAAGTTGGTTAGAGCATCATCCTGATATGCCAAGGTTGTGGGTCCATTCCCTGGTCACAGCACATACAAAAATCAACCAATAAATGCATAAATAAGTAGAACAACAAATCGATGTCTCCCTCTAAAAATCTATAGAATAAAATTAAAAATATTTCTTAACTCACAGTGCTGTGGTGAGGATTCAGTCACTGGTAAGATATGTTAAGTACATTGTAAGCCATGAGTTAATATACTCGACACATAATAGCCACAAAGTTAAGTAAACATTAACCATGATTACTTTCATTCCTTTGTATTGTAACAGAGCAGATAGTGCTAGGACCTATTAAAAAAAGTTATAAATAGCCCTGGCCAGTTTGGCTCAGCGGTTAGAGCGTTGGCCTGCGGTCCGGAGAGACCCGGGTTCGGTTCTCGCTAAGGGCACGTACCTTGGTTGCAGTTTGTCCCCAGCCCTGGTTGGGTCGTGTGGGTGGCAACCACTCGATGTGTCGCTCTCACGTCGATGTTTCTTTCTCTCTCTCTCCCTCTCACTCTATCTGAACAAAATATCGAAAAATGTCCTCGGGTGAGGATAAAAAAAAAAAAGTTATAAATAAACTATTATAAGAATGTTGAAGGGGGGATGATTGACAGTTAAGGGGAGGAGGTAGCCTTTGAATTCAGCCTTACAAGGTGAGTGGTGGTGTTATGGGATGAATTGTGTTTCCCTAAAATTCATATGTTGAAGCCCCAATCCCCAGTACCTCAGAATGTGACATTATTTGGAGGTAGAGCCTTTACTGAGGTGATTAAGTTAAGATGAGGCTTGTTAGTGTGGGCCCTAGTCTATTCTGACTGGGGTCCTTACCAGAAGAGATTAGGACACACAAGGAAATACCAGGGATGCATGCTCATATGGAAAGACCGTGTGAGGACACAATGAAAAGGTGGTCAGCCATCTGCAAGTGAAGGAGAGAGGCCTCAGGAGAAACCAAACTTGCTGACCATTTGATCTCGGACTTCCAGCTTCCAGAACTGAGAAATTGCTGTCGCATAAGCCCCTTAGTCTGTGGTATTTTGTTATGGCATCTCTAGCAGACTAATACAGATGGGATCAGCGCATGGGGAGATAAGGGGAAGGGTATTCCAGCTAGAAGGAACAGCATGATACCAATCACAAGAGTGGCCTGGCCCATGTGGCTCAGTGGTTGAGAGTCAATCCGTGCACCAGGAGGTCACCAGTTGGATTCCTGGTCAGGGCACATGCTCAGGTTGTGGGCCTGAACCCCAGTCGGGGGGGCATGCAGGAGGCAGCCAATCAATGTTCTCTCTCATCCATGTTTCTCTCCGTCTCCCTTCCTCTCTCTCTAAAAATCAATAAAGAAAAAGAAAAAAAAGTGTATGTGTAGTACATTCTGATTGGGTGAAGCTAGGGGAGGCCAGTTTCAGCAATTGGAATTCAACAGAGCTGGGTCTCATGGGGGTCAGAAAGTACAAGAGGCTCCAGGATTTGACATAAGGTGCTTCTTGGTGCGCAGGAAAGTTGGGCAGTATACACATGGGAGGTGAGGAAAGTGGCAAGATAGGGAAATAGTGAGTTGTGAGGTGGGGTAGGGCTTGAAGGGGGATGTTTTTAGGATGTGTGGGTGTGACGGCAAGGAGACAAAAGGAGGGCAATGAGAGAGGGTGGTGAGCTCAAGAGTTGATCGTTTCTGATAGATCATGGAGAAGATGGGAAGAAGAGAGAATAAAGATGCAAGAAAACCTAAATATAATGGATAGTGTGGGGGTCTTGGAGGACATGTGGTATGGCTGAAGAGAGCATCAGGGGAGGAGTTTGCCTTGAAAAGGAAAATAGTAATTTCCCACACTGGGAGGGGAAGGGAAGGACAGATGAAGAGATCATCTTTTTGTTGAATTTAATTTTGTTTTTTAATTATGTAAGTATTTCACATGGTTGCATTTGCATCCTACATGACTCTGTATTTCCTATCCTAGGTGTTTCCCCAACAGAAAAGTGAATGAATGTGTATCAGGAGGTATGTACTGAATTGCTACAGCAAAATTCTTTCTAATAGCCCCATACTGGAAACTATCCTAATCTGTCACCAGGTGAATGGATAAATTGTGGTATACCTACAAAGGGCTGATACACAGCAGCAGTTCTCAAAGTGTGATCCAGGGAACTCTGGCAGGTCCTCAAGAGCCTTTCAGAGGGTCTGTGAGGTCAAAGGTATTCTTATAATGATACAAAGAAGTAATTTGTCTCTTTCACTCTTATCCTCTCATGAGTGTACTGTGGACTTTTCAAGAGGCTGGTAATGACTTTGTTGCTCTGACAGACAATAAGATGTGTGCTTGGGTGTTCTTGTGTTTTAAATACTTCTCAGTTTTAATTTCTAATACCATGAATTTCAATAGATGTAATCCACACAAACAAAGGCCTTTTGAGGTCTTCAATAATTTTGAAGTATAGCCCGGGCTGGTTTGGCTCAGTGGTTGGAGCATCGGCCCATGGACCAGAGAGTTCTGGATTTGATTCCCACTAAGGGCATGTACCTCGGTTGTGGTTTGTCCCCGACCCCAGTTGGGGTTGTGTGGGTGGCAACTACTCGATGTGTCTCTCTTGCATCCATATTTCTCTCTCTCTTCCTCTCTCTCTCCCTCCCGCTCTATCTGAAGATGAATGCAAAAAAAAAAAAAAAATGTCCTTGGGTGAGGATAAAAAAATAATAATAATTTTGAAGTATAAAGGGATCCAAGAATAAAATGTTTGCAAACCATTCCTGTACAGCAATGAAAATGAACAAATTACAACTGCTCACAGTGGCATAAATGGATCTCATAGTCACAAAAATGTGGCACAAAGGAAGCCAGACACAAAAGTGTGCATACTGTACGATTCTATTTATGTAGAGACTAAAACCAGGCAAAATGATCGGTGCCATTAGAAGTCAGGATAGCGGTTATCCTTGCAGAGACTGGGCACTGGTCATATTGTTTCTTGATCTGGGTGCTGGGTCTATGAATGTGCTCCCTTTGTGAAAATGCATCTAACTGTACACTTCTGTTTTATGCACTTTTCTGTATAGGTGTTATATTTCAACATAAAGTTAAAAACACATTTATATTGGTCCACAGACAAAACCAGAGATAAAACATTTACAAAGGTCTAGCTACTATCCCAGTCTCTCCCCCTTTTTCCCTCCCCCATAGGCTATTTTCCCCCATAGGTAATTTTTACTAGTTGCTGATTTCACCTTCCATTGTTTCTTTTTGGAAGATATCGGAATCTTTCATTTTTATTTAATTTCAAATATTCATTTATTTCTTAGAATAACTCCCCCTTCCTACAGCAAAAGTAGTGTGTTATATTTGAGAGAGAACTTGTGAGGTGGAGAGAAGGAAAACCAAAATGGTACACACAGTAGTTAGCTTAGAGTACGGGAAATTAGGAGGCTGAGCAGACTTCTGCAGAGAATAAAGGCACGTAGAGAAAGAGAAAAAGATTTGGAATGGATACATGTATTCACTTGAGAAGGTGAGTACCCTTACTATGTGCAATATTGGGACAGATTGGGCAGTAGAGGGTGTGTGGTGGGGGAGGTCTTCAGAGAAGGGGCTGCTTGAGGAAAATCCCGACATAGAAATAGGAGAAAGCAGAGAAGGGGAGTGAGGGATGGCTTTCCAGGAAGAGGGAACTATATTTGCAAAAGTGTAGAGGTCCAAGAGCAGGTATCCAGGGCCTCCCAGGGTAGGCCCAGGAGTCTGAGCTTTTTCCTGGAGGTAAATAATTTGCAACTTCTTTAGCAGAATAATTTTGTTGTTGTTAATCCTCACCCAAGGATATTTTTTCCATTGATTTCTAGAGAGAGTGGAAGGAAGGGAAAGGGGGAGAGAGAGAGAAACATCAAAGTGGGACACATGGATTGGTTGCCTCCCTTACCTGCAACTCTGGTATGTGCCCTTGACCAGAAATCAAACCCAAGACCCTTTGGTGTGCAGGCTGATGCTCTAACCACTGAGAAACACCAGCCAGGGCAAGCAGAATAATTTTTTTTTTGTTTTAAAGCCATTTTATATAGATACCCACCTGTGACTCTTCTCTTTCTCTTAACCCCTATTTCAATCTTACACCCTATAGCAGTGACTATAGCAGTGATTTTCAACCTTTTTCATCTCATGGTACACATAAACTAGTTACTAAAATTCTGCAGCACACCAAAAAATATTTTTTGCTGATCTTACAAAAAATAGGTATAATTTTGATTCATTCACACTGGACATATATTGTTGTGTTGGCTGTTGTAATTTTTTAATTTGACAATCTAAGGGAAAAGAGGTCAGTGCACTGACTAATCAGGTGTTGCATGGTGTTTTTAAAAATATGTTTTCAGCCCTGGCCAGTTTGGCTCAGCGGTTAGAGCTTCGGCTTGCGGTCCTGAGAGACCCCGGTTCGGTTCCCGCTAAGGGCGCTTACCTCGGTTGCAGTTTGTCCCCAGAGGGTGGCAGCCACTCGTGTTCCTTTCACATCGATGTTTCTCTCTCTCTCTCTGTTCCTCTCTCTCCCTCCCACTCTACCTGAACAAAAAAATGGGAAAATGTCCTCGGGTGAGGATAAAAAAAATATATATATATATATATATATATATATATATATATATATATATATGTTTTCATTGATTTTTTTTATTTAACATGTTTTATTTTACATTGAAAAAGTAATTGATTTTATACTGTATTTCAATTATTTAACAATAGATATGTATCACTCATGGACTGTTCTATTATGTAGGTATAAGATACAAAAAAAGTTATCATTCACATGTTTTTATTGATTTTTTAGAGAGAGAGGAAAGGAGAGAGAGATAAAAACATCAATATGAGAGAGATACATCAGTTGGTTGCCTCCTGCACGTCCTCCTGCAGGGATTAAGCCTGCAACCCAGGCATGTGCCCTGACTGGGAATCAAACTGGGACTTCTCAGTCCGTGGGAGGACATTTAATCCACTGAGCCACACCAGCTGGGCAGGTATTGCATGTTTCATTTATTTATTAAAATTTTTTTTTTCTTTACTGATTTTTGAGAGAGAGGAAGGGAGAGGGAGAGAGAGATGGAAACATTGATGAGAGAGAACATCGATAGGCTGCCTCCTGCATGCCCCACACTGGGGATTGGGCCCACAACCTGGGCATGTGCCCTGACTGGGATTCAAATTGGCGATGTCTTGGTGCATGGGTCGATGCTCAACCACTGAGCCACACCGGCCCGGCAGGTGTTGCATGTTTTAAAAGTTCTTATGGCTCTGGCCGGTTTTGCTCAGCAGTTAGAGCATCGGCCTGCATTCCAGAGAAACCCGGGTTTGGTTTCTGATAAGGGCGCATACCTCGGTTGCAGTTTGTCCCCGGCCCTGGTTGGTCATGCGGGTGGCAGCCACTCGATGTGTCCCTTTCACGTCGATGTTTCTCTCTCTCTCTTCTTCTCTCTCCCTCCCACTCTCCCTGAACAAAAAATGGAAAAATGTCCTCGAATGAGGATATAAATAAATAAATAAATAAATAAATAAATAAATAAATAAATAAATAAAAGTTCTTATGGCACACCAGTGTGCCTCTTGCCACACCGGTTGAAAATCACTGCCCTATAGCAAATCCTGTTGCTCTCTCTTCAAAATATAACTGGAATCCAAATGCTCCTCGTTGCCCCCACCCTGGCTCAAGAATCCTCTGTCTCTTAGATTACTACAAAGCCTCCTAACTCTCCTCCCTTTTTCTGACTTTCCTCACACAGTCTCTTCTAAGCACAGCAGCCAGAATGATCCTGTTAAAACCAATCCAATTGTGTCAATCACCTGTTTGATCATTATCTCACTCTGTGTAAAAAATCCAAGTCTCACCCTGGCCGGTTTGGCTCAGCAGTTAGACAGTCAGCTCGCAGACCAAAGAGTCCTGGATTTGGTTCCCACTAAGGGCACATACCTTGGTTGCAGTTTGTCCCTGGCCCTGGTTGGTGTTGTGTGGGTGGTGACCACTCGATGTGTCTCTCTCATGTCCATGTTTCTCTCTCTTCCTCCCTCTCTCCCTCCTGCTCTGTCTGAAGATAAATGCAAAAGTGTCCTCCAGTGAGGATTAAAAAAAAAATCCAAGTCTCTACAATGGCATGCAAAGCACAAACAGCGTGAAACCTTTCCACCCCCACTTCTCTGGCCTATCTCCAACTGCTTTCATCTTCAGTTCACTCTGCTTTGGTCACACTGGCCAGTTATGTTCCCATCTCAGGGCCTTTGTACTTGTTCCCTCTATCTGGAAGCTTCTTCCATCCATCTCTTTAGGTCTTTATTCATAAGTCAGCTTCTCCCTAATCACCTTATCTAGCTAAAATTGCAACCTCTGGCTGTGGCTGGTGTGGCTCAGTTGGTTGGGTGTCAACCCATGTACCCATGCACTGAAAGGTTGCTAGTTCTATTCCTGGTCAGGGCACATGCCCAGGTTGTGGGCTTGGTCCTCAGTAGGGGGCATGCAGGAGGCAGCCAATCGATGTTCCGCTCTCATATTGATGTTTCTCTTTCTCTAAAAACCAATTAAATAAATAAATAAACAAATAAATAAAATTGCCACCTCTGCCTTCCACTCAACATTTCCTAACCACACTCTCCTGCTTTATTTTTCTCCATAGAACTTATCTGACATAAATATTTTTTCTTTATTGTCTGACCCCCTCCCTACAATGTAAACTTCATGAGGGCCTGGATTGTGTGTTTTGTTCACTGCTGTATTCCCAGAATCTGGAATAGTGCCTCACACATAATAGGTGCTGAATAGATTTTTTTTAAGATTAAAAAAACTTTTATTCAGTGAGAGATAGAGAGAGAGAGAGACATTGATTTGTTGTTCCACTTATTTATGCATTCATTGGTTGATTCTTGTATGTGCCCTGACCAGGAATCAAACCTACAACCTTGGCGTATCGGAATGATATTTATTGAACTACTTGGCCAGGGCCAGTACTCAATAAATATTTGATGAGTGAATCAATGA